GTTGGCGGAAAAGCAAGGAAAAACCAATACTCGTCTACAAAATGGTTATGGTCAGCATTAAGATATAAAGGTTCCTTAAACAAATATTTTTAAAGAGGTCTTGAGAATTCAATTATTTAAATTATAATAAATTTAATTAAATTTGCATAAGTGTCAATATAACTTCACTATTTCTTTGAACTTATACGAGTAAATGAAATATATATTAATAATTCAATTAATTTATTAAAACTTTTATTTGCCATATATAGAAGTATTACTTTAAAAATCTGTTGCTATTAAAAGGTTATCTGTTTATTTTTAATTTCAAGGATAAAATAAATATTTCAGAGTTCATTAAAACATGTAATATTGTGAAAAACTCTGTTCACATTGTAGCTGAATGAAACACCTTCAACGAACACTATTTCTCAAATCTCAAGTGTTTATCCCACAAGGTGGCCGCGATCGCGGAGGCATCGAAACACCAGGGCCTAATGTGCCCTAATGGTCATAATTATTTTGGCTTGTCTTATCAATGGCAGTTGTCTAAATATACATTTGTATACTCGAGTGTACCGCACTGATGTCAAGAATAATCGGCTGCCTTGACAAAGGTGTCCATTGGTCCCACATATTGTGGGCGCTTTTAGTTTGTTATTTCTCTCTTTTCGGATTTCTTCGCTTGTAGTTTAATTCTCCGTTTCTTTCTTTAAGTTTCTGGGACACCAGACCGACCCACCGAGGTATAGTCATGATTGATTGCCCACCATACATGTCCATTAAATATGACTCTAAGCCGAGGCGTGCGGATCGTAATAGATGATGATGAAATGTCTTTTGGTTGCTTGTAATCAATTACTCACAAGATCCATTGACAAATCGCATGCATTGTCTCCTAGGAAAGCTTCTAGTGCTCTTAAATGAACTATTAATCGGAAGTTTTTTACAAAAGTCATGTGATAATAAACTATAAGCTATATAAAGTTTTGTAGAATAAATATATTGAATGATCTTGTCTCTGAATTTCAAAATAGGAATTTCTTACGATATAAGGATAATATTTTTATTTTTTGAATGCTTAATAATAATCTTTTATTAATCTCAAAAACTCCTAATATATTTTTCTTACCACCATTAACTTTGTTTTTCAAACAATTACGAAACTGTTGAACATCTTGTTCGAGTTATCTTAATAAGACTTAATAAAATCTACTTAATTAAATCATTTTCTTAGGACTTCATTGAGCCAGCCTTAAATGATATTCCCGTCCAAGACAAGTGGCCATAAAGCAGGGGTGGCTCATTGAGTCGAGTCTATAACTCACACACAATCGCACGGAATCCCGAGGAGGGCATTAGGGAAATTAGCATACGCCATCAAGTATACGCCCTCGTGTGCGCTGTTCCTTTGGCAGCAGCAGCCGGAATAGACAGACTACACACTCATGTCACGATGCAATTTCAGGATATTAATTGTTATAGTTGCGAGATGTGTCTGCTTGAATTGTTCCTGAGGCTTTTGTGCGTTGCAACGAAATTCTAATCCTGTTGAAAACAAACGCATCGCCCTGCCAGCCTCTGTCAAATTCAGAAATTCAGGCACCCGAAGGCCGGAGCCAGCAGAAGCCAGAAGATCCTGAGAGATACTGAGTCTGAGTCCTGGCATCTCGGCTGCACACTGACACAAGGATTTCCGTACATGACAAGCGGCAGCTATAATTTATAGAAGCTGCGTAAGTAAGCTGCGTGGCCGAGGATGCAGTGGGTTTTCCCCCTTTGGAAAGGGTTGGTCCTTCGGCATCCTTGCTCCTTGTGTCTGCTGCTGCTGCTGCTTCTGCTTCTGCTGGATGCTGTGTATTTGTTCTCGTCTTGTTTCACTTAAATGACACTTTGCATTCTTGTAGCATCTTCGAGTGCCAGCCAACCCCCCAAAAAGACCCCTTTCCTTCCAAAAAGATGGGGATATCTATACCAGTAGAATGTCGGGATCTTGAGGAATTTTCCCTTCATTATTCCGGGGGCAAAATTGTGTTCTTTGGTATTTTATAATTGAGTGTGAATATTTGCGATTAATATGAAAATTTGTGAAAATTTAATAAAATATCCTACACGATTTCCGGATCAATAACGTTTGCTGCCGAACGCAACTAATTGCTTAAGCTGACTCAAGTATTTAGGCGGACTTTAGATAAGAGAAAGCGGCTTAAGCTTAGCCATTCGGAAGAGGTTTCTATTGCTTATGCTTAAGACGCACGAACATTGTGTTTGTTTGGCTTAAATATTTGCGAATTAAAGCCAACCGAAAGGGGTTAGCATTGCAAATGCATACAACATATTTGCTCACAGCTACGCTACGGTGATTTATCAAATAAAAGTATTTCATGAGTGCACACTATTTGTTTTTTGGCACAAAGTAATTGCCACATATTTTATTTTATTACTTCTTGCATTGTGCAAATTAGAACAAGCTTGGTTTTTATGTTTATGGCTTGGTTAAACCAAGACAGATATTACAGAGCTTTGTGTTTTTTTACCCTTGGTATACCTTGGGTATTGTAAATCCAGTAAAAAATCCAAAAAATAGCTTTTTCGGAAAATGGTCTGAAGCCAGTACCAGAAAGCCCATTAGTTTTGTTAATGATGTCCGATTTAGGATTGGTATACCTCAAAATGCTTGCGACGTAGTCCCCTAAGAAACTCCATCATTACTTTGGTTTCGATTTTTGGTAGATTTTTATTAATTTTTATAATGTGACCCCAAAGTTAAGGAACTTAAGTTTATATTGATTCTAAAATTCTTGATCTTTTATCTTCCCAAATTTTTAAATCAATATTTATGCTATAAAAATTAAGATTAAATTGAATAATAACAATAATAATAATTCTAAATAGAAATAATAATTTTCTTATATTTTTTTAATTCAGTTCGGCCATGATTTAAGCGCATCTACATACTTATTTCTGAGAACATAATGACTGATAGTTAAACCTTGAACACTCCCATTATATTCGATTGAGCCTAATCAGAGGAAGGAGTTGTCTTAAATCAACTTAACCGTTTACCGTTTTCGACACTTTGAACAATGAAAAAATTAATGTTCCATTCACTTTAGTCATATGAAATGTTACCACGACATTAAAGAAAAAAAAAGCCCCTTGATTCCACTTGACCATGAAGATGACTACCCAAAATGCCAGCAAAGTCAAGATTTCTCATCCAAGACTTAGGCATAAAGAAGGTAACTAATCACAAATACGACTTTTACCTACTACCGCGGCTGTCAATAATAAATTACCATGATTTTCACATGGTGTTGAAGGATTGCCCACACACGATATATATAAAAAAGTATACTTGGAAACGGGTTGGCTAACTGGCTGTCTGTCTGGGGATCTGGAAGGCAAATGCGACAAGTTTCCAAATGGGTAACAATTTTCAAAGTGATTAATTCGCCTGCTGGCTGGCTGCCATCGAGCATTCGGCCATTGGATTGATTTATGGCCGCAAGACGTTAAGTGGATGCAAGATAAGTTAACTGTCGTATATCCTCGCCGCTGGTGACCGATCCAATCCGATCCGATCCAATCCGAACTAAGCCATACCATACACTATACCTTACCGATCCGATCTGAACAATAAGGGGGAATGTCGAGTGGTTGCGACAGGCAGCAACCGGCGCGATCCCATGGTTTATGACCCATAAACGAGATCGCTTCACAAGCGCGGCGCAGCGAAGGATCTCTCGAATATAGTATCTCTTGGATGCGATTAATTTACCCGGCTTACTGATTGGCCCCATGTGTAATGGGTATTTTTTTTTTTTATGCCCCAGCGCGGTCATTTAGCATTGTAAAACAGACCATAAAGATCGAGTGGGGCTAAGTTGACTCTTGGGAACGGAACTAATGTCCCGCTGATGGCACCATAGAATTACTAAAAACCGTTTAAGAAATTTGTTTACCCGTTCGCTCGGCATGTGGCAACCGAAGATCCAGTTGGTAAATACATATATATATATAGTGGAATACCTGTCGGTTGTCCACTTACACGTGTAAACTGTGTCAAACGAAACCAAATTAATCACTTGCACTTTACAAATACGAGCATCGCGGCTAATTCGGCCGCCTCATCGCAACTTGCAACTTGCGGCTGCCTTCGTCGGCTGTCAATTTCAATTGAATTGGCAATTTGTTGCATAATCGAGCCACTGCTAAATGTTAATTTATCAAACGGCGATAGTCGTTACAAATTGTTTTCCCCATAAAAGCCATCCACATCCACATCCACATCCATGGACACAAATGCCGAGGGGTTCAGGTAGAAGTCCGTCCACGAACACAGACGCAAAGATGCCGGCTTTTGGTTTTGGTTTTGTCTCGCATGCGGACAACATTGTCCATGTCTCGGCCATTTGACAATTTCTGCGTCAATTTGGCCAAAACCTACACACCGAAAAATATCAGATTCAGCTGCATCTACACTGCAAGATTTTATATTGTATTTTATTTAAGAACTATATAAATAATAGAAGTTTTAATAAAACTCTCAAAATTTTTTCTTTTTGTATGTCATAAAAGGAATAATAATATTTATTGAAAATGTCCAAGCGATTACTACAAAACCATAAATTGAGGGGAATTTATGCTAATATGTCTAATAGGAAAAAGAGGTAATTAGCAGTATTTCGAATAAAAATCTCTACATGAAAATAATAATAGGTACAAAATATGTATGTATATGTACACAAAAAAAAATAGTTTTCTGTCAGCAAACATAGGTATGTGTATGTCATGCAAAAAGTTAAAGTGACATTGCATTTGTAAATTGCATTGGTAACTGATAAATTCAATCTCTACAAGTATTTGATTTTCTGATGAATTGCAACGAATAAAAATGGAAGCCTACATTTTTATACGATGTCGATGAAAAACCACAAAATAATACTTACTTTTCAAGACCTGAAACTACAAATATTTCCATCCATTCCCAACCCCTTCAATTTAAGAACACATTTACCTTTCATGATTATAAAGAATTTTATTAAACGAGTTAAAATTATTTAGATTATGTGTTCATATAGACGAAGTGTTTAGTGTGAAGTCTGTTAGACAATGAAAAACGTATCACAGTTTACAATCTTATTGCGCTAGTTTAGTATTTAGTATTTAGCCTAAGCTTACATTGCAGTTTGAAGAGAAACATTTGATCTGGTACTCTAGATACGATGCATAACTTGAATGAAACTTGAAGTTACTTAACGCGCTACACGGCTACAGTTAATATTACACAATCCGTCTGGTTCTTGCACGATCCCAAAGATATACTTTTCTATATATAATATATATATATATATATTTCCAGTCCGATTTAGTTGGTGAACTTCTTGAAGAGCGGCTTGAACATGGCCTCATTTCGCTGGAGTTGCGGCGACGAGGAGCTGCTGCTGCTGCTGTTCCCGCTGCTGTAGTCATCCCGCGGGGAGTACTCCCCAATCCTGGCCGAGAAGTTCATGGGGTAGTTCGAGGAGAAGCCAAAGGCATTACTGCTGCGACAGGTAGCGGTCATAGGGGCTTGAGAAGCGGTAGGCAGGAGACTCAAAGCTCCGCTCAGCACCTTCATATTCGGCGGAGTTTGGGGTGGAGTATCTGGTTGGGCTTCGAGAAACCCCATCGCCCGCTGATTCGCTGTGGACTGAGATTGTTGCAGCTGCTGCTGCTGCAGTTGCTGCTGCTGCGGATGTTGCCGCTGCAGTTGGAACTGCAGTGGTCCGCTCGAACTTGCCGTAGTATGGATGGTACCGCCCACTTGCAACTGCTGCTGCTGCTGCTGCTGCTGCGGCTGCTGCTGCTGCGGGTGCATATTGCTGTAGGGGATACTGCTGCTCGTAGTATGCAGCTGCTGGGTCGTAGCCCCTAGAAAACCCCCGTATGCCGTGGTGTGGGGCCTCAGGTAGGGAGCTGCGGCCCCATTGAACAGCTGTTGCTCTCGTCCTGCATCCTGCGGCGGATATTGCTGTTGCGTCTGTTGCTGCTGTTGCTGTTGCTGTTGCTGCTGTTGCAGCGGCATCGATTGGTGACCCATGTAGGCCGGGGGCGGGGTCTTGCAGCCAACTGTGTCGGCCAGACTCCAGATCTTCGGCTTGGTAGCTGGAATCGGCACGCCACAATCCCGGCCTAGCTGGTTTTTTGAATCCCCAAGTTCGCCCTGCAGTTTGGAGCTCTCCCCATGGAAAGGCAACATTCCCTGCTGACCAGCTTGATAGTAAGCGGGATGCTGATGGTGATAAGGATGGTAGCCACCGGGGTGGCCACTCGAGGAGCCACCTCCACCGGGATAACCACCAGCTCCACTAGAGGGATAACCAAAGCCAGCTCGCAGAATGTTCGCCTGACCCAAGCACTTTTGGTCCTCGTCTATGGCATCCTCCTCCTCTTTGGTCTCATCTGGTTGGAAGAAACAGCAGCTGTAAGTTGGGAACCCCAGGATATACCTTTAAAATGATGTACCTTTGGCCAAACTGCCACTCTGGCTGCCCTTGCTCGGCTCCAAGTCCTCTTTATCCTTTTCATCATCGGACACCATGGCATCATCGTCGTCATCCGTTCGGTTCTTCGGCTCCCAGGTCATCTTGTTCTCCTTCTTCAGCCGACGACGGGCATTGGCGAACCAGGTGGACACCTGGGTGAGGGTCATCTTGGTGATGATGGCCAGCATTATCTTCTCGCCCTTGGTGGGATAAGGGTTCTTCTTGTGCTCATTTAGCCAGGCCTTCAGCGTGGCCGTCGATTCCCGCGTGGCGTTCTTGCGTCGGGCCGCCAGATCGTAACTAGCGCCATAACTGGAATTAAATTATAGAATATTTAGAGATAATATTTAACCACACACAATTACAATTAATTAAATAATTAGTTTTAATGATCATGTAAATACCATTAATTATAATTCCAAAGCAAATCATGTTTGTGTTATGCAAATATTTTTCAAACATGTAGTTTTATGTAAGCTGATTTATTTATTATTTAAGTAAAGCTATGTGAAAAATGTAAACAGTTCTTAAAATTAAATTCCTTAGGGTAATGTTGTTAGAAATAAATTCAACTTCTAAAGATTCTAATTAAACCTGAGCAGCAAAAAAATTTTTTACAAAAATAAAATTTGAGAAGAAGTACAGATTCCTTAATTTAGTGCTCCGCTTTGAAGAAATATTCTCTGTCTAATTGCAATCGCGGCAGTAGCGAAACATGGAAATTCATTAAAAATGCGGAAAACTCAAATTGATGTTTTCCTACCACCTGCCCCCCGCTGGCTTCCTCCTGCCTCCTCCTGCTCCATTGAGCTGGGGGTCCACGTCCTGCCAGTGTAATACAACGTCAAAATATTGTAAAACATAGTTGTGAAACAGGGCACGGCCACAAAAAGCAACAACAACAACAACAACAAGATGAGGAGCAAACCCGAACAGCGTCTCCGGCAATAACGAGGACGACAAGTGGGTGCAACCGGGTGATCCAGTTGTATTCCACTCCACTCCACTCCGCCAGTTCTCTCCAGCAGTGCACTTATCGCATTTTTTAACCCACCAGAGGCTGTGGTATAGCCCCTCCCCCTCCCCCCAACGTCCCACCCACTCATCCGTCCTTCGCAATAATGGTCTATGGTGGTCCTCCGATCCATCCACCATTCACTTGCCAGCTAAATTAAGCCCCAAACCAGGCGAACTCCGCTGCACATCCGGCTCATCCGCTTTTCACTTTCGGGTCTTCCCCGAAATCCCTTTTCGTCCTTCGTCCTTCGTCCTTCTTCATTTTTCCGATTGGTTTGGTTCCTTTTTTCCATGGGATTTTTATGGAGCCACAATCAACAGTTTGTGTGCGGTGAATTTTACAACAAGATAAAGAACGAAGCGAAACTCGGGACCGCTGCCCGTCGAATGTAAATTCGACGTCCTTTCTCCTTGTTCCTTCTGCTTTTTTACCCCACTTTTTCGTCCTCTTTTTATTTTGGTTGTAACAGTAGGCGACCCTGATTGCGTGCAGTGTGGAGGATGTTGCCAGTGATTAGCACAAGAGTTTGGAGGAGGACTCGCGATGGTTTTTTTATTCAACCCACTAAATATAGTGCAGGATTTAACCAAAATGTAAACGTTTTTCGGGATGTGTAAGCTTATTTTTGATTGTGATAGTACTAAAAATAAGGTTCTTTTTTATTCAAGGATTATTATTTTTAGAAATAAACTATTTAAATGTTATCCAAATAGGGAAAGCTTCTGGGTGCGTAATTGAAATAAAATTATGATAAAGTTAAAAATAGGTAAAAGCAAAGTTGAAATTATTCTTTAATTTATGATTTATAAATTCAGTAAAAATTATATTTATTTAAATTGAAACCGAACTAAAAATTTACAGTTAAATGATTTACGTTTATTTTTTAATAAGTTCAAGTTTTGTAGTTTTGTCATTTAATGAGGAAACTTTTTAATAGAATTTCAAAGTGAAACTGTTGGAAATATAAACTTAAAAGAACCGTCTGCCTTCCAGATCTCCCACTGTAACTTTTGAATAAGTAATCCAGATTTGTCCAATACCCGTGAGCGGAGTTTGTGGAGTCCATAATTTCAGGCACGTAACCCACAACATCGGACGAATGTCAGTATTTAAAACGGAGCGGCTATATGATTATCGCGTAGTTCGGTAGTTTGGTAGTCGGATCCGACGGATCCGATCCGAGTGATACGCTTTGTGGGCTTTTTGTGCTGTTATGTTTTACAACCTAACAAACATCAATTTGTCCGTAATTGGCACGCATCCTATTTTTGTATTCGCCATATAATTGCAGTACAGCGAATGCATGTAAAACTCGATGTATGTATTTATCTATGTATGTATGTGTGTATGTGTGTATAAATGTACATGTGTCTGCGTTCTTTTGGCATAACTCGTAAACAAAAAAAAAAAAAGTGATTTGGCTGTAAATGCTGCTACTGGCGGGCCATAATCTTGTTAACAAATCACATTCTTGTTCACACAAACACACGGACACGGCTATATGGTCACATACTATAGCCGCATAGCGGTCGACTGAATGGGCCGCTTATTAGTTTTAGACCGGCTTACACACATTTACATTTCGCATTTTAGCTTTTCATACCCAGCAGGCGCACATGCAATTTGGTCGCGGAGCCACCAATTACGGCGGCCATTATCTGCGAGTTGCGATTTGCGCGATTTACAGCGGCGAGCACATTTCGAACAAATAACGCTGGCTGGTTGAGTTCAGCTGAGTTGGCTGTGGCACAAATGACATTGGCTCCCGTGAGCAGACACGTTCATGCCTGTCACTGGGTAATTACGCTGGCTGTCACTCCACCATCCCCACCCAAAGTTTTCCCTCCCAACCACCTCATTTACCTTCTACCTCCCCCTCCCGGAAAAGCCCCCTGCAATTGCCATCTGCCAGACAGACAGACAGATGGCCTAACTGACTGACTGTCAGTCAGTCAGTCTGATTTTCCACCTTTCCGAGTTTTCCCACTCCGTTGCCAATTTGTGACGATGAACAAAACAAAGCGCAACCGTTCCTCTCTTAAATGTTTGTCAACCCGTAAATATGTACACGCCTACACACCGTGAAAAAAAAATATATATTAATTGAATAACAAGTGTTCTTTCTAGAACATTTTGTAAATTTGGCAGAAAGACTTGTTTTTGAATTAAGATCAATTTGCTTTTAAACTAAACATTTGAAAACAGTTCTATGAATAAGAAAACTAAGACATAAATAACAGATTTTAAAATAGCAAAATAACAATAAAAAATTTTAATGGATGTCTACTTATTAGAAATATATTAGAAACCAATACTTCAAGGTCATACAATTTGTTAAAATTTTATGGGTAGGAAAATTTCAAAAGCTAAATATCCCAAATAATTTCTATAAAGTTGAAGATGATATATTTTTTTTTTATGCGTTAAGTTATGAATTCGAAGCAAATAAAGTTTTATAGTGACTATAAAGTAGGCTTTTTCCCAAAGTGTAGCCACATACTGGTCCAAGTACATACGAACACCGGTGGATTGGTAAGTACGTGCGTATGTACCGCCGCTCAATATGGCGGCCAACATGGCGTTCATTTGCGGCTCACACCTCACCGCCCCCCTCCCCGCCCCGCCCCTCCCCCAACCGCCCCATTCAACATGCATCGCTTACAACTCACTCACTCATTCATTCACTTAGCTGCAGCTCGATTTCATGGGCTTTCCGCACGCAAACTTGGCCCAAACGAAAGCGAACCGATCCAATCCAACCCAACCGTCCAACCATCCAAACCATCCAAACCGTCCAACGGGAAGCCGCAGCCGTTGCATGCCACTCAGCCTTTCAGCCCTTTCAGCTCTTCAACTCTTCCCCCGATTCGGATTCGGAATTACATATATTCGGACTGCGGGACTGGGGAGACTCCTCCTGCCTACTCCTGTCTCCTGTCTCCTTTCCCCCTGCTCCCCTCCTCACTTTTCACTCCTGTGTGTGCGTACGCACTTGTGTGTGCACCCACGTGTGTACATACTTAAGGCTTAATGCATGTGCATGCACAACAACAAATTCTGCTGTCTTTTATATGCTCAAAATATTTATTTAATAGGTGCTAATTATACTGCACATTCCATAAAATCACGCACCTACACAGAGAATAAAACTGAAGGAATGTGTTCCCTACCCTTGTTAATTATTAAAAAAAGGTATGCAGCATGTACAAACCTATTTAAAGTCTTTATACTTAAATTAAAAAGTGGGAGGACATTTATGGGTAAAAGCTAGAACTTCGGCGCAAACAAATTTTGAACATAAGTTTCTTGTTTAAAAATATATCATTAATAGAAATATTATTGTTGATCAATAAAGGAATAATAAGTCTTTCAAAGCCATGAATACATACATAAGGTATTTAAACCTCATTTATTATTATTAAAAACTTTGATCCATTACAAATTCTATAAAGATAATAATTGCAATTATTTAAACATTTTTTTTAAGGAGAAGACAGTTAATATATATATATATATATATATATATATATATATATTTTAATTCCTTCTTTTCAGTGCAATAGCACACATGTATTTATATATAAAACCATGTGGATGGTATGCGTTGGGCGCACTGGCGTGCAATTAACTGCCATTATTTTTGCAGCAATCATAAATAAATAATTTCGCGCTCTCATACAGTTTCGAACAATTCAAATTTTATTATCGCCAGTCCCTAGAGCATTTTGACCTCCGTCTGTGGGGGAAAATCGGTGGAAAGCAGGGGAAAACGCAGGAAAATGGAGGAAGAGGGCAGCGCAGCCGCCGCAAGCAATTAAATTCAAATCAATTTCAAGTACTCGCAAATATTTTGTAATTAATTATGGGCGCGCGATTGCATTCGATTCGGCGAGCCATGTATTTAAATTGGGCTAAAAGGCTTTCTATTTATTTTCTATTAGACGCAATTAATTATTGTTTTGGCGGCGGTGTCTTAATTTGTGGCCTAGAGCCACGCGATTGCCATTCAATTCTGTTATTCTTTTTCTACCGGGCCTAATTAAATTAAAATACAAATGCCAGTGGCAGTGAGGATTTTTTTTTGCTTACCCGTAGGCCGACATGGGATCGTAGGAATAATAGCCCGTGGTGGGCTGCAAACCGGCCGAGGTCCAAGCTCCCATTTCCGGACCCGCTCCCGTGTCCTTCAGTCCGTACGGATTGCTCTGAAACGATTAAGAATTCAGCATTGAATTGAGTGATTATAAGAGGAGTATGGCATTTGCCAAACAAAGCGGCGAACAAAGCATTTTCCCACAGTTTTCGAAGTTGACAATTTTGTTAACATGGAATTTATAATTTGGCAACATATTTCGCAGCTGAACAAGCAAATGCCGAATGCCTAGCCATATTTTAAAGACAGATAACACCGATCGATACAGAAAAATACATAATTTAAGGGGCGGCAAAACTTTTCGAGTTCCGAAAAAATCGGTATTATCTAAGTTGGAGCGCCGATTATTGTTATTATATGAAAGCAGCCCGCAAAAGGCTGACACTTTTGAATTTTAATTTGGACCGCGGAGTCCAATGAGTCTGTTTGTGGCGTGCTGCGATTTATGCCCTCGGAAAATGACAGCCGGATTTATGAGCGACAACTATTGGCCAGATCGCCGCTGGTCGAGCGCCCAATCTGGTTGGCCCTGTCGAGCCGGGCTTTTGTGAGCTCTTGATTTATGAAACGGTATTAACATTTTTAATTGCTTAACATCATGTATGCCGTTGTTTATTAATTTTTCACCCCACCCCTTAACGAGAAAACCGCCGCGGCCGAGTGACAAATATATTTATCAAAATGTCGTTCGAACAGGTATTGGATCGCCAATCGAAAAAAAAGCCCTCTTCCCGATTTATTTACCAATCCAAAATGACTTGGAGTGAGATTTTGCTAGATCTCCCTTGAGAACCGAAGTATTAACACCTCGCCGCCGAAAAATGAGCGACGACATCTTATCGAGAGACCTCCGAGATATTTTCTTAATTAAAAGTATGCGCTTCGTGACAACCGATAAAAAAGACACTCGGTCAGGTGCTCGCCTCAAAAAAAAAAAAAAAAAAAAAGGGAAAAAAAAGGGAACGAATGAATTTCCTGTTGTTGTAAATAACAATTTAACATGACACTTTGGTGGCTGCCGCTGCCGTCTCCGCCCCATTTGCTTTTCCTCTGCTCTCCTCTCCTTTCCCGAGGGGTTTTCCTCTTGCCTCACCAGATAGTAGATTTTCTTTGAAGTACTCGCCGAGAGCCGCCCAAGTTGATTAGACGGTGTCTTCGTTCATATTAATTAGATCGTTCAAACTAATGTGCTTATTACAGCCCTCGTAAACATTGGGGGAATATTGTTGACAAAGTCGGACAAGTGTTTTAAGATTTCTCTAAATTAGGAGCAATTTATGAAACTTGTTTGTTAATTTAATCAGAAATTTACATGCCCTAGGAGGAAACATTTTTAAGGCAGTAAGACTATATTTTTTTCACTTTATTGGGGCAGTTTAGTATTTTCAAAAAGTTTATAAATATCTCTGTGGAAATTAATGCACGCCCCTATAAATGTTTTTATCTATTGCAAGCTGACAAAATTATTATATTTTCAAGAGTGTTGACAGATTACAAGACATTCAAGCAACTAGTAATAAAAACGTTTTAAAAGTTGATAACAAAATTAGCGGTTGTAGGCAAAGCAAACTCCATATTAAATAATCATGAAAAAAATATAGATTTGTATTAAAATTGATGATGAGATTTAATGGGATTATGGGAAAAATTCTAATGCAAAATTAGCTTTACAAATTAAGAAGTTCTGGTAAAAAATTGCCAACATATTTTTCGACAGATTGTTGAACAAAAATTGTGTACACAAACCACGTCGATGAAAATATTTATCTGGTGTGCGATGCGGCAACATGATGTCCTTATAAAACACTTGCTCGGTTATTTGGGCACTTCCAGCCAAGCTAAGCTGTTTGGCCTATCCATCTCGGGCAGTTAGTTATTTGCCAAGGCTAAATACTGTCCACATTGTTGTTATACATATTGTTGCCAATTTTATGTGTTTGTTCGAGCTTGTGTTTGTGTTTGTGTTTGCCTTTCATTCAGGCCAGCAGCAAAAGCAAAAGCAGCAGCAGCAGCAGCAGCGTGTGTTTTGCTTTCAGTCATGCTGTGCTCGTGTACATTTCAGCGGTCACTTAGAGACCATATGAGCACAGTGGCGGTCAAAATAATAGTAGCCTTCAAGGAGGCCAACATAAATTGCCAATTAATGGGGTAATGTAAGAGTAGATTGAAAAAATTCCCGAAATAAATGGCTTAGGAAGTTGCTTGGCCAAGAAATGAAAGAAAGCTTTAGGCCATCAAAATGAAATCAAAAAAATTAACAAACTTAGACAGCAATATTAAAAAAAATGTAAAAAAAATAATACCGTTATAATAGATTAAATTAAAATATTTTGAAAATATTTAATTATTTAAATTAAATTTATTTATGCTAAACGGCATATGTTTTTCATAAAATTTTTTTAATATTTTGTGTTTAGAATAATAAAATACTTTTTAGGCACTTTTACTACTACTATTTCTTTGACCTCCAACTGTGTGTATGTGGGGTGCTCACACACACACATCAACATGGGCTTGATTAGCCCACACATACACGAAGAGAGTGGAGTGTAATTGAGGCCATGGGGCAATATGTTTTGTTTCCAATGATTTTGCCTTTCTTTATGCAAAGTATCGAATATCGCAATGGAAGTCTGTTCGCCTGTTGGGCTGTTGGCAGTAGGGAACCCGGCGGAGTAAACGGGCTTATAAATTAGGTAGATGGATAGACGGACGGGGATAGAAAAAGAGCGGCGGGGTGGAGTTCGGTGGGGAGTGGGGATCTGGCAGAAACTAAACCCCCGATACGGAGCCAAATGAGGTTTGACTGAGCTTCAGTCAGCCATAATGATAATTCGATTTAGTCGACTGCATTGACAAGCCATCGTTGTTGTCGTTGTCGTTGTTTCCCCCGGTCTCGTTGTCTTATGTTGTCGTTGTTTTTGTCTCCCTCCTAAGCTGCGGACAAAAGCCACTGACTACACAATTAAAGTCATACGTTGAGATAATCCATTTAGCCCTCTGGCCCATGGCTCTTGGCCCTCCTCCGGTTCTTGGCCAAAACACTTGGAAAAATATATTATAACCTTCTTTGAAATTTCAAATTATAAAAAGGGTGTTAAATATAAGTTCAAACAAAGATAACAATCCATGTTTTTCATGCTTTATAATTGAATTGATCAAAACTCAACAAAAATGTTATATCCTTATTTTGTATTTAATTTGCAATTGATAGTGACATATTTATTTACTATTTAAATTTTTAAGTTTTTATTCAAAATTATTAAGTATTCGACCAAAGCCTAAGAAGTGGTGATTACTTTTTGTTTGCCTAAATTAAAACTATTTTAAAATCTAATTTTTTGTTAACAATATAATTTTCAATTTTAAGGCATTTTAATGATCATGGAGATAAATAAAAACTCATAATAATAAAAATTCTTTAGTTTCCCCCAACTTAAGATTGTTTCAAGTGCACTTACCAGCGGCGAATAGAAGGCGGAGCTGTCCACTCCGATGCTCTGGTAGGGATTTTGGTCCGTCGAGGGGTAGGGCGTACCGTAGACGCCGACGCTGGCCGCCGGCAGGCGGGAGTAGCTGGAGAGGGCGAGGCGGGCGGAGTCGTACTGGCAGGAGCAGACCGTCTGACCCGACACCGGGTCGGTCATTATGGGCCGCCCGTTCTCGCAGCAGGATCCACCACCACCACCACCACCAGCACCGCCGGCCGTGGGCGTCGTGCCCACACCATTGCCGTCCAGGGAGCCACCGGTGGCCAGATCCGCTCCACCTCCCCCTCCTCCACCCGCTGAGGATCCTGCTCCAACCACCGTTGCTGCATTGGAGTTCTGCGAAAGCGCATTGGGACTGAGCGCCCCCGAGGAGGCATCTCCGCCAGCTCCTCCAGGCGGCTGGCTGCCCTGACAATCCGGACCGCCCGCGGGGCTCATCGCCGGGGCGTTTGTCATCACCAGCGCCTCGTTCACATTCACATTCACGTTCACATTCGCGGAAGCGTCCTCCGGCGGCTGGGCACTTGGCGGCAGGAGCTGCAAGAGATTGGATGTGGAGGGGTTCTTTGAGTCGGGCTCTATCGCAAATTGAAACACAAGTTCGGCTTTTTAGCCGCTTATCTTATGAGTATATTAAACTGACTGCACAGGGAAAATTGTAAAAGTTTTGTTTGAGAAAAGTAAAAAAAAGTGGTAAGAATAGATATTTTCTTTATTTTCCTTACCCCAAAAAAGTTATATAAAATTTAGAAATTGAAAAATACGGTTTATGGTATAATTAAAATATAGGAACAAATCTTGGAATGTCAAAGGAATTTTTAAAATAAAAACAGAAATCCTGTGGTTTAAATGATTTGAAGAGCTTTTCTTTGGGATAGGTTAATTAATTTACTGCATAGATATTAAAGAAATTGATAAGCCACAGTGTTGTATAAAGTTTTTAAATCGTAAAAAATTTCATCATTATTATCATTTAACTTGTTGAATGTGCCTACAAATGTTTCTGCCTTCCCAACCCATTATATTATGTTTTAAGATTCAACTAATATGCGACTTAATAAGTGAAATTTAAAATTAATTTGACTCTTAAACTGATATCATATGTTTCCCCCTGTGCAGATACTTCAAAACCCCAAAAGCCACTTCGCTGATAGCCTTAAGTGATATATAAACACACATCGCCACCGGTTTACATAACTAATGCATGTTAATCAAGAGCCCATTTTAATTTTTATTTCAAACACCAAAGGCTGTTGATGATCGAGAAATATTTTCCCTGGGCTGCAGAAGGGTCATTTCGAACACCTTAAAGAGATTTGGGGAGCTGATAAGAGTCCACACTTACTGTGCAGAGGTGGGGCTTCCAAGAAACCTCCAATCACAATGATATTGAAGGAAAATATTTCATTTTGAACCCAAAAAGCTGTCTCTAAACTGACAGTTTTTATCTCCAAACATTTCGCCGGTGAATTAGTTTCTTGGGCTGCTCAGGTGATAAGAAATTTTCGTTGAATGATCAAAAGAGCATATGAGGTAATAAAATTTTTTATTATTTGATATTTGATTTTAGTAGCTATAAAGCTTCCTGAAGTAAAGTATTTTTTCCTGTTAAATAATTAAAGTTAACTAATATCATTTGAACTTAATAACTTTCGATAATAAACAAGAATTATTAAAGGCCACTTTATAGGTTTTATTTTATAGACTATTATAATTCCAATTATAAATGATTTTACTTTTACTGATTAGAATATTTTGGTAGTCTTTATTTTGAATTAGGTATTAAAAAAATGTTTAACAGCAATCAAGACGGTTGCTACTTGAAGCGATCTATTAATCTGACAAGATGTTATTACAAATTGATAACTGATCTTATAATTACAGAAAACTGCCTCCGGCAACAAGCCGCACTACATAGATGTCAACTCGCTGGCGGAGATGCGAGGTGAAAACCTGCCTGGGAATGGATGCCTCCATCTCTTCCATCTCTGGACAGGAAACGCACGTACATGCATAATGGCTAATTTTCTGCAGCATAAACCCGAGTAAGTCATGCTAACTGCCGTACTGGAAACTTCATAAATATTGATGTCCGGCAATGTTGTTTACCCATCCCCAGATATCGTATATACAATCCACCTCCTGGCAAAGCGGGGGCTTCCACTTGGAATCGCTTGGAATCGCCATGGAATCACTGGGTAATTGCGAATTTAATTCGAAAAATCGACAGAAGGCCCATATTACAAGATGCATCGATAACGTGTAAGCGAATATGGTGTTAACACACAATCAATGCCGCCGGCCAGGAAAGCGCAGAAGCTGTACGGGATTCGTAATCCCGCGGCGATTAGGTTCCCTTAATCAATGGTCTTCCGTTGGATTCCAGCTCCTCTTTTTTTTGTTGTTTTTTTTGGCTGCTCACTCTCCTTGGATTTCTCTGCAATGGCGGCCAGATCAATTACCCGGCAAATCGATTTCAAGTGCCGAGAGGGAGCTCCGATGATGGGTGATGTCCTCCATCTTTTCGGTGGAGCTTCGGCTTTTTGCGCCTATGGCATGCGCCAGTCACTTGGCAATTAATATGCAAAATGCGCCAAGCCCGCAGACTGGTTGGGCATTTAAAGATGCCAGAAATCAATGAGGGTGTGGCAGCCGACGCCTATAGGTCCGCCGAGGTCCGAGGACCGATGGAACGGGCTCCAAGCCCGAGATCGATGTGGATATGAAGATGGAGATGGAGTCGATGCAACATGCTGGCGAAGGCTTCTGAAAATTACCGCGGGCAATCTGCGAAACGAGCGGACTGCTGATGCCTCCTCAATTTCTGAAGTCTGAGGAAGAAGAAGTCTGCCTGGCGAAAAATATATATCGTCGAACCCATAATTAAGTTGAGTGCTCCGCCCGATGGACAGCTACAAATTGATCGAATGCCAGCGAAAAGGTCATAATACCTGGGCAACAATTTCAGCCGGCTTACACGGCTTCCGTGGCAGCAGAATTCTCCGGCAAAAATTAAATGCTGTCCCGAAAACGCATAATTATTCCGCGCCATTAACATAATCTGACAATAGAACCGACCCAAAAACTTTGCCCCAAAATCGCTAACCGTGCATATTATTTTTTGTTATAATTATCGGATGCGATCGATGCGAGATCGATTCTCTGGGGATTCTACAGGTGAGTGATCCACTAGAAGGTCGTCTCATAATTAATATAGAGGAAAATTTCTGAGTCATGCTGGAGCGCACAAATAATAGAATTTCGAGGCCAAGACAAGCTGACTATATATAGGGACATCATTGAAAAAAACACACAAAAAAATATAAAAAAAAAAACGAAAAAAAATCATACAACCATTTATCAAAATTTTACAAATGAATGATTCAGGTGTTTTTTGTGCCGCGTGATTTTAATTAGTAAAAAGCAAATACATTTTCGGTTTCGTATGGGAATGCTCGACGATCGAAATGAAGGAGGAGGAGGCTTCGTTCTCGGTTCTCGGTTCTCGATTCTCAGTTCTCCGTTCGCGGTTCTCCGTTCCCAGAGAAACTCTCGCACAATATGAGAATTATGACAACTGATCTGATAGGCGACACCATATAGGGAGCTCTATGCGCCTGCCAGATTCCTCAGCTCCTTGAGCGAATGCATTATTCATGAGGCAAAGAGTAAGGCAGAGGGACTCCTCCATTCCTGCTGCTGCCTTTCCGCTGGAGGAGGAAGCGCCAGTCCAGTGGGCCATGTGAATTGGCCACGTCTTCTGTCTTCTGGAGCTCTGGAGTCGAACTGTTGGCAGTTGGAGGCTGGAAGTTGCAGACGACTGGCAGGCGACAGTGCGCAGATAAGATCTGCTTTTGGCCATGTGTGTTTGCTGCTGCCCAGTGAGCCAGTTCAGTGAGCAGCAGTATTGCAGTATTGCTGTATTGGTACTGCACATCCCAGTCCAGTTTCCAGTTGCTTTGGTAGAAATTTCTGTGAATCGCAAACGCAGCGATCTAATCGCAACTTGTATCTTTGGGTCCGCTGCCAGGCTCCCGGTTCCCGATTCCCGATTCCTGATGCCCGATTCCGATTCCGATACCTCCCCCGACAATCCTTCTCCTTCTGCTCCACCTTCACTCCGATGACCAAGTTGATAGCAGAAGGCTATAAGCGCCACTTGGAGTCGAGAGAAGCAACGCAACTTCACCTTCGCTTCAACCTCCTCCGCTCCTCCATCGCAATGTAAAGTAGATCAGAGAGGAGGGACCAAAGTCATTGGTCCATCGATCGGCTGGTGGGATCGTGGACTATCTGGCATCTTGGCCAGCATCAATGGAGTGTACAGAATGCTCCTCACGTAGCTACCAACGCATTCCCAGGGCCTGCCCTCAGCTGTCACTTTACGGTTATGAATTTTATGATTTACGATCGCCGCAATTGAATTTTATTGACTTTTCAACAGTTTCACCTGAGCGTGCCTCAATCGGCACCTCCCATCGTCTTGGCCTTCTGATTGCCTACGAACGAGCCTGGGCTTTTCGCTTTTTTTTCTGGCTTTTTGTGCTCCCCTCCCCGGTTTTCGTTTTCGACTCCACTTAATTGGACTCGTGTGGTCCGAAATGGGAAAGACTCCCAGAGTTCCGTGGAGGAATCCCCACGCAGTCTTCTTTCAACCGGGGAAGATACTAAGCAATTATTGCCTGGGAAATTAAACTTAAGCCGAGGCAAACTATTGACAGCTTTAATTTACTCTACCAATAATTTCTAGCAGTTCAGTGATCCATCAAAATGTTTACAACATATTAAAGTTACACCTGCAACTTCTTTTGTTGAAAGTCTTTAAGAGTGCCGAAAGGTTTTTGTGCTTTTTTGCAGTTGACAAAAAGTCTTAAATCCTTGGAGTGCTTTTTTCTCAGGCCATTTATCAGCAATCTGATTTATTGTGGTTTTTTGTTTGGCCTTTTACCAATTTACTGTCATAAACATGGAAAAAGTTTGCTTTAAGCAGCTGGTTTTTGCTGCTTAGTGAAAAGTTTAAAAGCGGAAAAATCAAAGACTAAAGCGGTTTTGCCCTATAGTGGGTCTTCAAGATCAAAAGATCAGATAGCTTTGTCTGTGGTCGGTAAAAATACTCTTAATAAACTTGATGGTAAGGATCTCTACTTTTTACTTTTATGATAAAATTATTCATAATGAAATTGTGTGTAAAAAAGAGGTTCTAAGTTTAAATTTTGTTTTACGCTTTAAGTAGAATTTATATTGATTTCTTTAGGTATGAGATATTTTTAAGTAAAGTAAAAATATTGATGGTATTTATGGCGAAAGTGTTACCAAATTTTTTGTACAACTTTTAAGCTTAATCCTCCATCTAAAAAAAATATAAGCTTAATCATCATTACAGAATTACATCAAGGGGATAATTATATAAACTTTTTAAAGACGTATAAAAATTAAAAAATATTTAAGATAGTTGTGAATTCGGCTTCTTTTATCCAAAGTTAATATTAGATAATTATGAAAATTTTTATTTTGATTAAGCCTATCATAATCGCAATCAGCTTAAGGAGCCACTTTAATGAATAATAACACTATACAATTTATCTTCTGGTTTTTAGAACCCATTTCCCCGTTATCAGAAATCACCTGGGACTTAATGACTATAAATATGTATGGGGCTTATTAATTAGAGACCCACCTGCGAGGCCGACGGAAAGCCTCCGTATCCGAATTGTGTGTAGGCAGCCATATCGCTAAGTGACTATTCGACTATATCGCTATAAGACCTAGTCTTAAAGTAACTCTCTCTCTCTCTCTCTCTCTCGCTCTCTCTCGTGGAACAGTCTTCTAAAGGATATATACCAGCTACATCAAATGTGAAGTCAAGTGATGTGCTTATACAGTTAACAGCTCAGTTTTGATTAGGTCTGTTCACAGTCACCGGAAACAACGACAACAGCAACGACATTAGGCCAACCGAAGGTACAATATATCCAAAAGTATCTCAGGGATTGCAGCTGTATTCTGTCACTCTTTATGCTTTTCTTTTATTTATTTTTTTTTTTTTATTTTTTTTTTTTTTGCAACACTCGCAACGAAAAACGCGGCGGCAAGACTCGCAAACGCAAACGAAAAATTCGACGAAATATCGACGGCAAAACGCGCGTTTTTTAGCACACGCTCCTCCAGATGTGCACCTTATAACGTTCGAACACGAACTGGTTGCGAATGCCGTTGCTGTTGCTGCTGTCGCCGTGTTGCTGTTGCTTCTGCTCCCGTTGTTATTGTTGTTGTTGTTGCTGTTATTCCTGCTGTTGTCGGCGCATTCCGCTGCAGTTGCTTGCCAGAGCGAGACAACGATAGAGCGCCCCAAAGAAAGAATGCCGCTCGCCTTGGGGAGCAGCAAAAGCCGGCAGACTGGAAGTCAATGAAATTGGTTAACGCCCACCACCAACAAACTGTTGTTTCGGTGGTGGTGGTCGCATTTTCCTCTCAGTGAGAATTCCATTCCCCGCCAGCAACTCTCGTATTCGCGGCTCACTGGAAGTCTGGCCCGTACCAACCACCAATCGCATGGCTTCATCGCCTTCGGCTGGTCTGGTTTTAATGGACAGGTGCGAGGTCGCCAAACAAAAGAAAGCAAAAATGAAATGGAACTACGAGAGATACGGAGACGCACATCCAGAATTTTCACAACTCTCGCAGCTCTTGTTGTTGTTGTTTTTCCCCCGATTCTCGAATGTGGGCAACGCCCATTTGTTTTGTTTGGCTAGTCATTTGTTTGTTTACCTTTCGAAACTCTGAACCACTGACTTCTCCGTTCTGGAATTGCCCTCGATCGCAGTGATCCAGCCAGCTGGAAATGCCAGCAAAGTGAGGCAAGGTAAGGTGGCTAAGTGGTGACACAAAAGCGTTAATAAGATCACCGAATTCCTTTGCACTCGCAGCGTATTTATCGCCCGTCATTACGTTTATCGCTGAATTGCGCGAAAGTTAACTCCCATTATCGATCCTAACTAATTAATCTCGCCCGATCTGGTTTATAAAAAACATTGCCAGCATTCGCTGCTTAAATATCACGCTACTTCGTTACCAGTTACTCGAAAGATCATCGAGTTTTTAATTTATTTATGGGAGGAATTAATGTCCTTGCTAAAGTAATAGTCATTTATTTAAATTTTGTGTGATTTAAAAATCTTTAAAAAATACGAACTTAGTTGAGAATATCTTCTGAAATACCATAAGTCTATTTTTGACTATAATTTAAGCATGGTTGTACCTAAAATAGCTTATTAAAAATTGTATATTTGTTAAACCATTGCAACATGTTGTTTACCAGAACATTGAAACAAATTATTAAAATTACGTGTTTGATTTCAAAGCAATAGTTTCATATGTTTTACCAATTAATCGAAGTACAGATGCCCCACAACCTTGGAACACCAAATATAATATTTAAGCCAATTTGTTTTCTTTGCCGTAATGACATTTCTAGTTTACATGCCATTTTAATTGCAATTAAAAAGCACTTCACAAGTATGTCAAAATACATGAATAGGTTGACCCTTTTTTTTTTTTTTTTTTTTTAAATAACAAATAAGTTTTATTTACGTCGATCAGCCAACCTAATGGCTATAATACGTAGAGCATAACAAAGAACAGATAACATGAAAACAATAACAGGAGATGTACAGTAACAATTACTGTTTCAGGACTCGGGAAACCATGCGTCCTCTTGTCCAGAGGTCGCCGGGGTGTCTCCGTTTCAGTCTTCTTCGGATAGCTTGATTACGTAGAGACGTTGCTAGGTGGTTTGGGTGCGCTATGAGGCGATCGCTGTAACGACTCGAGTGTCGGTTGATCTGCTCTCTAATGGAGGGAATGTGGAGATCATTTGCTAGGGCGTCGTTTCGAACGTACCAAGGCGCGTTTGCCATCATGCGTAGCGCTCGGTTTTGGGTTCTCTGCACTTTCATGACGTTAGTGTCAGAAGCCATGCCCCATATCTGAATGCAATATGTAATCGAGGGCATCACGATCGATTTATACAGCAACACTTTGTTGCCAAGGCTGAGCTTGCTCGTTGGCTTAAGCAACCAGTTCAACTTCCTGAGTTTACTCCGACATGTAGCTGTTATTTTCTTGGTGTGTTCTTTCCAGGTGAGCCGCTTATCTAGGATCAGTCCCAGATACTGCGCCTGGGGTGACTGTGGGATGGTGACGTCGTGAAGTTCGACTCTGGGTAGGACCTTTTCTCTCAAAGTAAAGTTGCAATGTTGCGACTTCCTGCCATTTATGGCAATATTCCACCTGTTAGCCCACTTGCCATACGAGTCCAGAAATTCCTGGGTGATCCTTGATGCCTCGATTCGGCAGGAAGAGTTCACAAGAAAGGCAGTATCGTCAGCATATGTGGCCAAAAGTGTGCCCGGTTCAACAGAACTTGGCAGGAATAGGTTGACCCAGATTTATTTTTTTACGAACTGCATCTGTCGAAAATAATATGTGCTTCGTTAAAATCTATTTGGCAACGAATCATTAATTTATAAAATATTTTCTTACCTATATAAAGCAAAAGTACTTTTGCTTCAACTTTTTACTATTCTTTAACTATGCTATAAATCTAGTGGGTGAAAAAGCCTGACTGATTACCCAAGCGAATATGAAAGTGCCGCCATCGCCGTTGGTTGCGTAAAGTTTGGAAAAAAGTTTCGCTATTAATACGCACTAACATATTTGGACTTCCGCTTTATGATCCGTTGTTTTTTTACGATTCTCCGGCAGGAGGAAGGACTCGCGGGGAGCCGAACTAATGCGCACAGGGTGCCCAGGACACCAGGACACGCATTCCGGAAATGGTCGCCGGGCGAGGGTCCACTGTGGATGCTGCCGTGAGGTAAACCTCAAATGTTTTTGCGGGTGTCGCGGATGCTCTCGTGTGTGTTGCCAAGCTTGTTTGCTGTGTCTTTTTTTTTGTTTATTTTTATGATAATGTAATAAAAGCAAATTAACCTATAAAACCGAAAAAGTGCGACTTACACGATGGAATTGCGCCATAAGGTCTGGGCGTGTCCTCCTCACCTCGCTCCCCAAAAGATATATATCCATATATAGATATATGTGTTTCGGTGGGCAGGGAAAAAAATGAAAAGAGAAACGATCCACGTGGTGCTGACGGGAGTGTGGGTGTGGTGTGGCTCGAGTGGGTGGTGGGTGAAGTGGGCTGGCAGGGGATGGGTGGTGGCACCACCCACCGCGACCGAGCATCGGCGCAAAATGAGAGCAACGTGTAAGCTCAAAGCAACAAATGACCAAAGCTCTTGCCCCTGCCAAACGTAAATGTGAATTAATTCCAAGGGAAGCCAAGTCATGCCGAGGCCAAAGGCAAAACCCAGCGGCCACTGCACTTGGCCAAAAATGAGCTACAATTAAAATACAGTTGCAAATATCAAAAGAATAATATGATCATTAAACTATAAGGAAACTCAATTTGAGTTAAATAAAATAAAAATTCTTGCTATATTTTGTTAAATAATATTATAATTTGGATATTCCAAAACCTTTTTTTAATTACCATGATATTCATCTTATATACGAGTATTTCAAAATATCAATATTTACTTTTAATAATATCCAATTTAATGTTATTAAGATAAATTCTTGTTCTTGCAATTTTGGCATACCACTTTTCACAACATTTTATTCTATAAGGATTTATTATTTTTAGACATGGTTACTGTTAAAATGTCTTTCTTTTCTAACTCATAAATATATTTATACAACATAGAAATAAACCAGCGATGCATAGGGCACGAGGCACTAAATATTTAAAATATATTCGATTAAAGAGGGATTATAAATAAATACGGATATTATTAATACGCATGCTTAAAGTTCTTATTTTCTATAAAAGGACATATTTTTTTAGAGTGCAGGGGCAGCAGCGTGAAGAACGGAGAGTCCGGTGGAAGTGCCCCTCCGGGTGTTAAGTACAATATTTGCTGTGTTGCGCGTTTTACGAGTGGCGCTTTTGCAATCGCCGTTCTTCAAGGGCCAAAAGCGGGGAGTTCGCCGAGGGTGCGGGGCAGGAGGGTTGCTGAGGGGGGCGGCGGGGGGCGTGGCAGCGCCAGGGCAAATGCAATCAATCAATGGGTCAGCATGATGGTACACACCAGACGAGTGGCACAACCACATGGGGCGTTTCCATTTGCGGCAGCCACACAGTGACCACCCTCTGAGTTCTGAGTCGAGAGTCGAGAATCCTGAGTCTCAAAACTCGGGATCGGGATGCGGATTGCGGATTGAAATCGCAATTGGCAAGTGCCAGTGGCAATGGCAATGGCAAGAAGTGCACTTCGCTTACAAATCAGTCGACGGCACTTAAAACCTATTTTGACAATTGAGCTGTCCGCCTGTCAAGTCGACAGCGCGCACTTTTCACGCCACTCGCTATAGAGTTTATATATACATATACGAATATATGTATATATATCAGGAATATAGCAGATATGGTGGTGGCATTTCCTCCACCGTTTTATGCCCTTTTAATTGCAACATCTGTCACTGCGGTTTATGCATATATCAATTTCAAAATAGCCGGCAAATGGCAATGGCAACGGCAATGATTCGACGAGAACCCAAACCCAAACCCCGTGGAAAATGAAATATATTTTTATTTTTATTATTCGCCGGCGAAAACTGTCACAACACTCCACGGTGACGCCTGTCGAGTTCGGTTCCGTTCGGTTCGGATCATCGAATGATGGGCAGAGGGGTTGCAGGGAATCCAGGGGAATCCTGGGATTCGGGGATCCGGGTCCTGAAAAGAAGGGTCAGGTCAGGATACGGTACGCACACCACACACACACACACACACACACTCTGCGAACCTTTCCCTTTTCGCCGCCGCCGCCGTTTATTGTTGTCATTTTCAGCGGGCCCGACTTTAATGGTTGTCACAAAACATTAAAAATTGTCACATGAATATATCGCTTCGGTACATACGCGTAATTGAGTTCTACTCATTATGCAATATTTGCCTTATAGGAATATAAGTACATACACATGTACCATTCACTTTTAGAGAGCGTCGATTTTCGATTTTGACTTTAACAGCATAAAATTTGGACGGGTGTGATGGTTTAATTAAATAAACAATTTATTTCACTGTGGAGGGAGGTGAAATGCAAATAATGCCAACAAAATGATTACTTAAACACATTTAAAATATAATAGTAATCTTTCCAAAATATAATAGTAACATGTCCAAAAGGCTTCCATTAATTTATAACATTTTTGATCCTAAGCAAAAGACTATAAAAAACTTCATAAATTTTAAGTTATAAACTTTTTTATAGTTGCTAAAAAAAATAGCGTTGCAAGGCCAAAGACATTAAATAGACAACATTTAAAAAAAATGCAGTGATCAAAAAACAATTAAAAAGTTTGATTATTTTTAAGCACTTAGAAAAGCCATAAAAATTACATTAAAATGCAATGCAATTTTTTTCTTTCACTTGTTGTTATTTCGTATTAGGAAAACAAAATCATTTTAGTCTTAGTAAACATATCGATCTTAGATATTTTAACTAATTTTTAACCAAATCTTAATAATTCAGAATTAATCGTTTTAGAACTCCCCCATAGCACATTACCCTTTGCTTTTAATAGGCAAGTTAATAAGTATAAAGAGCTTAGGTTTGATGAACTCCGCACCCCGAAGTGTAAATATTTTGAATGAAAGCATTTAAACACCGTTTCATTGTTCCCGAAATAAGTGTAATTGAAAATCTCTTAAGCGCTCGACAAATACACTCGAAGGTGGACGGAATCAAGGGGAAATTGCAGACGCACAAGGACGCAGGAGGAAGGACTCACTCCGAAGGACGACTCACTGCAGGCGCTAAATGAGTTTGTCAATCAAAATGCAAATGTCACCGGAAAGTGACATAATCCCACTTGGGAGTCGGGCTAAGCCGAGCGAAACGAGCCGAAATCCCGAAATCCCGGCTGGGAGCTAAAGCATTTGACCGCATTTGAGTTGAGCATTTGCAACACCACCGAAAATCGAAGCACTCCCCGTGTGGCATATGAGCAAATTCCCGAGCAAATGCCCCCGTCGGAAATAGCAACATATGACGATTCGAATCTGAAGTTGATGGTAGAGTACAACCGAAAATTATCGAGGGGATGAGGGCCAGCCAAGTGGGGGTGGTGTTAAATTGCAGTAATCGGCTCTCGAGCCAGGCGACAACGTTTATGTTTTATGTGCTCATTTATAATGCGCACTGCTCATTTGGTAATGGTTCAATAATGACTGTCAGACTACTTAAAAGCCTGCCCAGGATTGCGTTGGCCGCCGGATCGTGGAACCTCGGACATCTGCCGGGCATTACGTTTGGTTTGACTTCTCTCATACAAACAAGCCGAATCGAATCGAATTCAATCCAATCCAATCCGACTGAACGACTGATTTCCCGGCCACAATAAATCTCTGGGTCTTGAGCAATTCGCGGTGACAGCTGCCCCGCTCCAAAGGCCTCGTGTAATTTTAGGCGCCACTCTCCAGGGGTCAGGAGGAAAGGAGAAATAAATAAAGTCGAGTCGAGTCGAGTCGCAGGTTAGAAATGAGGGAATCTTGGCTAAGCCGAACACAGAAACAGACTCAATCCGGCCACGACTTCGATTTGACTGGGCCAGATAGACAGCCGGCGTTAGTTGGCACACTCGAAAAATCTCACGGAACAAGAAAACCTCAAAAAAAGGTTAGAGATTAACAGGCAGAAATTGGAAAATCCATTAAAGATTCAATAACAATGTATAAACTTAAAAAGATGATCGGTTTGTGCTTACGAGTTTGTTAAGCCAGTAAATTATTATTAAACGCATCAAATACTTATTTTTACTCCTCTAAAATAAAAGTTTAATTACAGCTACCTTTTTTTATGCTTCTAACTTGATAATATTTACTATATTATCAATTAATAAATTATTGTTCTTTAAGTGGAGCTGCCAGTTGGCAAAAAAGTCATAAAAGCTCACTCGCCCAGTGCCATTCTCATGCCCATTCCCATTTTCAATCCTTGCCCCTTCTGCTGCTACTGCCACAGCCACAGCCATTTCCACTCCCGTTGCCATTCCCCAATTGCCAATTATGCTGCAGCAGCAGCCCATTCGATCTCATGCCACACCATCCTCCTTGAAGCATCCCCCTTCCCCTCCCCGAAAAACAAGACGAACGCTGCAACTTGCAACTTGCAAGTTGCAACTATCGAGGATCGTTCGCCGTCGATCGCTGTCTGCAGCATTCGACACTGACGCCAACCGGTGTACAAAAAAAAAGTGGGGTTTCTCGACGAGAGGTGGGGGGGGGGGGAGAAAAGTATCTGGGTATCCGAGGGATACACCAGCACCACAAGATGGCTGCTGCCAATCCTCGCCCGCACCAATGCCAACTGCCCCTTAAAATGAGGGGGGAAAATCTGCGGATCAGCAAATGCAACTCCCGTCCTGGCCAGACGTTCTCTTCTTGTCGTGCCGAGGTGGCGGAGTCGCTGGGAAAAACTGCCTTCCAGCTGCAGACACTCACTCGCACTTCATACGGCATCGGCATACTATATAATTTAATTTGCGACGCTTATCAGGCGCCACTTTGCGACGCAATCGGTGACAATTGCATAATCCGGCTGCAAATGCCGAACATTGCTCTAATCGCACTGACGAGCCATTTCTCGCTTGCTCCGAGATTGGAATGTTTTTCAGCCGGGCTAGTGGCAAAAGCACTTAGTTAATTGAAGGCCTCGAAAGCAATATTCTGGCCTAATGGGATTTAAATGTCAGTACGAGCAGACATTGACAAACTATCTTCTGTTTCAATAATAGCTCTGAGGTTTTATTTATAGTATAGGAAATAGTACCATATTTTATATTTATTTCTATTAATTCTATAAGCAATAATTTTGAAACGTAAGTAGGTATATTTAAAACGACAAGCACAATTTAATAATTGTCTCATTTAAAGAGATTAATTAAGGATGATCATGTAAAAGATCTAAAATATAAGGATTTAATATCTTTTTATTTCTTTTTTTATTTTATTCGTTTTTTATCTATACTCGTATGTTTTAATAGTATGCAAGTTGTCTAATATCTACAAAATGCTATTAACTTTATATAGAACTTTTCAGAAATCCTTCAAATCTTTGTATTTCCTTATAATATTTTTCTATTAAATCATATTATAGTATAAAATATACCTACTGTTAATTACTAGTGACGAAAAGAGGCTTAACACTCGAAATGATAAATAAGAGCCATTTATTTAAGCACATTTATGAGGCGAGCACACCTCCTCTATCCACAAGATACATTTATCCTCCTGAAAACAAAGCGAAAGAGTGCGGGCATACAAATTAGTGCGCATCTGCGCCATTGAGGATGAGTCCTGGAGTATCCTCGAGGGGAACGGCGTGCAGACTACAACACATCTTGACATTTGCATCTTGAAATGCAAGTGAAAGATACAATCCCAATCTGTGTATCCAGATGCGCCATTGTCACTGTCATCGGCTGTGGCTTCCTTTCGGCTAGAACTCTCCGTGCGGATGATAAATGACGTCGATTCAACAAATTGCCACACATAGAGGACTCAAACCCAGCCAACCAACCATTTTGGCCAATTGAGAAGGAAATCAACTCACTCTGTGCCCCACATACAAGTATTGCTGCAGACTTCCTCCCAAAGTAAACTCCCCAATTTAAGGAGGATGAGGTTTTTCCGCCAGTACCGCCCCCTGAATTTCCATTTGGCAGTGTCTCAGGAATTAATTCGGAGCTGTTTTAAATATTTCTTTTGCATAATAAAAGCAACTCGAAACATATGGCTTCAAGTGGATTTGAATCTTATGCAAATGAACTTCCTTTTGATATACAATTTTACATTTTGAAGAGATTACATAATTGATTATCAATTTCATTTACTTTTCAGTCCATAAAATACAAACATTTTAGAAAGGGCCTTGAATTTCATTTAAAAGTGTTTGGTTTTAAGTTTTACAATCTGGGTTTTATCTATCTGATGAATTTAAAGACGAATCAAACATTGATATGTTAATTTTATTTCTTAATTATTAAAACATTTTAAATTCTTAGTTTTCATAAAGAAAAATCTAAAGAAATAATGAAAGTCAAATGCATTGAGTAACTTTTCTGTTTTTCTGTTTTTTTTTTTTTAAATTGGGTTCATTGGAAAAGCGATTTGAACTCACCTTAATCTTTATAATTCATTACAATTAAAATAAAACCAAAACTATTCAATCTGCATAAGTTATTAAACTATATAGTATGTAATTCTCGTTGATTAAAAACAAATCAATACCAAGTTCAATTAAATTTCAAACAAATCTTGCCCATTTGTCAGTTGCGTACCAACCAGAGTTCAGTCATCCAGCCAAATCAGCGAGCTTTTTTCTGCGAACCAGCAGGGGTGCAACAATCGCAGTGCGCTCAGTGCCCTGGTCGAATGTTTTTGTTTGTTGTGTTTTTTTATTTATCGCGTTTAAAAGTGTTTTAAAGTGAAGTTTTAACTGCAATGGAGCTGCCGAAAGAGTTATCCATTGCGGAGATCCGTAATTACATGTTGGCAAACGACTGCAAGGTGACAAATCACGCGTTGGTGAAGCATTTCAAGAAATTTCTTACGCACCCGCAGTCGCAAAGTGAGTCATTTTTGTGTTTGCCTAGGAGAGGCTTTAACAAACCTGTTGAATTAGAGAAAAGCAACCAAAACTTTGTTGTGAAATCCATGTTTCTATGATTTATTACAGATGAAGCTCGAAAGCGTTTCAAAACCTATGTCACATTGCTCTCCACGATAAAGAACGAGAACAATCAGAAATTCTTAATATTGCGCAAGAAATATGTTAACGAATGTCCAACAGAGGAAGTTGTGGAGCGCGCGGTGGCCGCCGCATCTAGTAATCCGGAACCCTCGAGTCCCGGCGGAGCATCGCTGAACTTTGACTCTCCCATGAGGCAGCCACCGCCCTATAAACCGCCTCCAATGGTCACCTCGCCACCAGGAGTCTCCGTTAGCAAGGAGCACCAGGAGAATTACCAGGATTGCGTGAACGAATTCACAGCTGCCATCGAACGCATAGATCCTGCCCGCTTGGAAAAGCAACCCGCGGATAAGCCAAAAGATCAGGAGCCGAGTAAACAAACCTCCCGATCGAACTCCATCGATGTGACCGACAACAAGGAGAACATACCTCGATTCTCCTTCTCCTCGGAGGCCTCCACAGAGTCCGGCTCCAGCGAGAAGCTGGAGAAGCCCGATCCCAGCACACGAGCCGCCGCCGAGGGCGATGTGGCCGAGAATCCCATCAGCGTGAAGGAGGCCACGCGCAAGTTCAACCGGATGGCATCCGAAGAAGAGGCTAAAATCATATCGCCGCCAGCCAAGAAGAAGCCAGAGAAGGTAAGTGGCTAAAAACCGGTTAAAGGGGGCATCAGCCAACATGCGGGTGAGAATGGAGGTGAGGGTTTGAGTGCGGGTGCGGGTGACTTAAGAGCCATTCCCTCCCAACGCTGCCACAATTTGTTCCATTTCCTGTGTGTCAGTGGGAAGATTCGCTCGAAGACAATTCAAATATGCGACGCTTTTTGCAAGGGCTTAGTTGTGATTAATTACCACAAGCACAGCTAAGAACATGCCCTATAAAAAGTAAACAGAGATAAAAATTCGTCGACGTACAAGAAACCTTGTCCGACTTTATTCTAGATTTCTGTCCAAACAATTACAATAAAATACAAATTTAATTATTAAATAGAAAACTATGGAATTTCAGCTTGTAAAAGAACCTAATTCTTAATAAGGGATATTGTTTCTAAAGAAAACATTTTTTGATAAAAATGAAATACATATGTATATAAATTTCTAATCTATCATACACTTTTATTTCAAGAAATAAATGTCCAAATATTACGTTCCAAAAAGTGGGTTTCTGCACTCATCTTGAAGTGCAGAATAAGATTTTTAAAGAATATTTCCCCTCACTGCATATGACTGAATAACAAGAAAGTCTTCGCTGTTATTCAGTTACAAATCAGGGTCAGATTAGATCTGTGGGCCCTTGAAACCCCGAGCAATTATTGTCAATGCATCAGTGGCTGTCCCAGGCTTTGGGCCACCTCAAGTGGAACTGCTGGCGGAATGGCCGGTCGACTGCATGGCTGGGTCGAGCTAAGCTGGTCGGTCACCCAACTGTCTGTCAGTTCCCAGAGCCATGTCACGAATTGCCACCAGCACAGGCCGAATTGAATAAATCCATTAATTTTATTAGTGGACAATATAAATGTAAGTCTCATAAAACTACATGCGCCTGCATCGTTCCGTTCGCTTTTGCTGTCCGTTTTTCTGTCCCGGCTTTTGTCGCCGCGCTGTTCGAGAGCTGGAGAGCTGGAGAACTGGCGAGCTGATGCCCGACATGTGTACGTACATGTGCGGACACATGTACTCCGATTCCGAATTCGATTCCCTAGCCCGAGCCCGATGTGTTTAGTAACTTTGTTCCATCAACTGGCCATGACGACACTTCTGGCCGGCACTTAGGCCGGGCGTTTGCTCTGCAAGCTGTTTTCCTGTTCGCCTTTATTTTTTTATTTTTTTGATACCCCAAAAGCCTATTATGTGTACGTACACAACGGGGACAAGCTAAGAATGAGTTACGTGAGAAATTTTGCGTCCAATAAATGCATGCATGCCAGACAGGCACTCAGAAAAATGGCCAACGATGTAGATTCTTATAAATTTCAACTTGAAACATTGGGTACCACATTTAGACACTCATTTAATTTAAATATAATATAAACATGAATTTTTATTAATCAATTTGAAATAAATTGAAATTGAACTATATACTTTTGAGAACTAATATTGCAAAGTTCTAGGAGGAAGATTGAAATAGTTTTGACTCCATGAAAGGCTTTTATCTCTTTTATGGTGGTTTATTTATTGGGTTTTTTCCGTAAGGAATGTGGATTATTTAAACCACAACTCTAAAACTTCAAAGCCAACTAATACTTTTTCGAAAGATTAGGCCAACTTTAAAATGTAGCAAAACAAACCTTCAACACTTCAACGAAATCCACTTAAATGTCTGCTCATACATATATAATTTGTAGCGTGTCCATTTCAAGATTCTAATTTAGAAATATCAATCTTGGGAGCATGTGGCGGTGGAATTTGTCAAGCGTTACGGAAAAATCGTTCCTTAGTTAATGTTACAAGCTATATAGTAGTGCAATGGGGCCGAGTTGTCAAACAACTGTCATCCACTTAGGCCTGTCAATCACGCAATTTAGAGTTGAAAACGAATATCCCCAGTGCATAAATCATCCGAATCTGTCTGAGAGACGGATGGTTCCGTCCCATCGTAGCCCATCCCATCGGATCCCATCCCTTTTGGATCATGTTTGGAGGAAGATGCTCCGCAGCAGTGGATGTTCGTCAAACTGAGATTGTCAACGGCACGTCAAATGCTATAAAATCCCACTAAAACATCGGGAAGCGAACTTAAGTGCCTATTTGTACAGACACTCGGACATGGAAAAATCAAACTCGTCCTTATATTGGAATATGTTTCAAAGCATTGCTGCCGCAACTTTGATTTTCTCACGTATTTCATGTTTCCGGATTTACACATCCCACTTTCGAGCAGAAAATTAAAAATACAACATTTATTCCGAAAATGTTGCGTTTAAAAGAACGCATTTTTAAATTAATTTTTATTTTGTATGCAAAAGAAATTCGTTTCTCCCAAAAATGTGAATAGCTAATTTAAATGAATGAACTCCCGTGAATTACTTTGCACAAACTAATTCCTCTTTTCTCACAAGTCATTATTAATTTGTCTGCAACATACATAAGTAAAGTAAAAAGAAGGGCTATCATTCACATGATACTGATCGAGTTGATGGCTCTTATTTAGACCACTGAGGGATAAAGAAAGTATCTGTAAGCGCTTACAGCTTGTTAACAAATTGATTCGCTAACAAGACACACCATATTTTTTCGGATGGCGCCAACCGTCTTCACGCAATTATTAAAATTCAGTTGTAAACAACATTGGGATAGGTTTGATGGATGCATTCTTTTTTTCTAGTCATCATAAAAAGTAACTAATCATCGCAAGCCGAAAAGAAAGTAGCGCATCATATTCCAAGGAATTTGGAGGTGGGATTCTAATTCATGGGATTTTTTCCGCCGTGACCAAAAAAAAAAAATAAAATGGGGAGCAAGTGGAGTAGATCCATCATGACGAACCGTGAAATTTTTGGCGTCGCAACTGTAACTGTGGGACCTGAAGTCTCAGCTAGCTGATCAATTAAATTCGTTTCGATCGTTTTTAATTAGCCCGATGATTTTGCATTTCGTACGCTCACTCAGCACCGTTGTGCGATGGCAAAGGATTGATTAATTTACGCCCCAAACAACAAGCGGACTTAAAATGGGTTTTTTGTTTAAATAACTAATATTGATAGAAGTATTTTTAACTTGAGTTTTCACCCAGTTTTGATTAATGACATTTGGAAGGTTAGAGGGTACAAAAAATGCCAGGTTCACGATTAAAGTTATGGTATTTAAAACTGTTTCTAGTTAAACCTTCAAATTTAAGTTGAGTTATTTTTTGATGTAGCCTTGCTGATTTCAATTGAAATTCCTAGAAATTTAAGCATAGTTTGTTTTGAACTATAGGCATTTCTAATCAAAGAAAAATATTGTGACTTTTTTGTTCACTAAACAAATTAATTCCAAAATCCAAAAATTGTGTATGCCAACTAAAATTAAATTCCCTTCTAAGTTTCAACTGGAAAACTAAAACTAAATAAAAGTTCCGTTGATGTTTCGTGCCTCTAATTTAAACCCCCTGGCATCCAAATACATCCCTTAAAGCAAATCCCTCCTGCAGCATCAAACAGACCGCATATATTCTTATTAAAATAGTAGGCACCTCTCGTGTCCCAGAATGCATATAAAACTGCCATCCGACCCACATCGAAACGGGGGGCGGGGCGGTAACTGGGGGCGTGGCTGGGACGAAAACGAACCCGTGGCGAAACCCTTTGCATAAAACAAGTTGGTGAAACATGTTAACATAGCCAATAAGCAGCAATAGAAATTAGTTAGGCAAAGCTATTCTTATCACGGTCATGCCAGCCACAAAGGACCCAATTAAAAATGTAAGGAAACAAACCAAAAGTTGTTATTGCTGTTAAACAACAACGGACTGTGTCCCGAAGCGGTTAAATTTACAACAGCAACAATTTCTACCCGTTCGGTCGGTCGCTCAGTCGAAGAGCAGCAGTCCACCACTTTCCTACTCCTCCCATTTGACAGAAAAGGCGGATGGAGTTGAAATCCCCGGATCCGGGGAATGGCAAACACGACCATTTTGTGGCATCGGTCCAAAGGTAAGACTCGCCGGGCCAACGTAAACACTGAAGGGACATGGCCCAGACCCCCAGAAACCCCCGAAACCCCACAAACCCCGATCCCTGGGATCCCATATTCCACATCCCGGTGTCCAGGTCCCAGAGCCCATGGCCAGGGCCACATCCTGGCAGAAAAGGACAACGGCCAGCTGTGTGATATAATATCGGGCATAAGGGGACACGAGACATAAGAAAACTGGCCAACAAACAAGCGATTGGGGAGGATGAGTGGGTTGGGCTGGGCGATAGACAAGGGCAACCGGTGCTCAACCCCCAAAGTCCCTGTCCCCAGGACTCCAAGTTGGAGTTCGAGTCAGAGTTCCAGTCCGAGTTGCTCTCGGTTTTGCCATTTCTTTTTTTTTTGTCTCCTCCCTTTTGGTTGCGCCAAAGCCATAAAAAAGCAACATACCATCGGAAAACGGGGGGAAAATGGAGTTGACTGCAGTCAACAAAAATGGACATCATTAGTTTTATTAGTCACTCATTTAATAAAAGTAGATAGAGGAAATTTTGGATGTGCTTGTGAAAAATATATTAATTTTTCTATTATTTCTGAATTGCAAAAACTAATGGATCAACCCCCAAAAAAATCTTTTACTTTTAATTAACCGAAGTTATCTATAATATAATGGCCATAAACTTGCATAGAAAAGAATTCATTCCAATTTTAATGGTTAGCCACCTTTTTTATTCCTTTTTTTCTGGAATTATAAAATTTTCTTGACCTTAGAAACAAATGAAAACTTTTGTATTTCAGTGAAAAACTCATGCTCTATTCTTTTTTTTTATACCAAAACTGTGGTTATTTTCATTTCCAATTAGTGAAAAGAACATCCAATAGATAGATTCCATAAAAACTAGAGGATATCAGAATGAGGGTGGATTTGCAATTATTTTTTTCGAGGTGTAGTGGGCGGTTCAGTTTGGGTTTCTGTTGAATGGGGTTCTGCTTTGGGCTGGGCTCTTTTGTTTAGCATTGACATGGCCACTTTGCCAGGGGCATTGCGTCTCAATGTTTGTCCTGTTTTGTGATGTTCTGCTCCTGTTTCTGTTCCTGTTACGCCTGTCGCCTGGCTCGCTTGCTCAAATGCTCGAATGCTCGACTTTCCCAATCTGAACCCGATTTCCCATAAGGCCATAATGCTCGACTGCTCGGCATTTGCAAATGGCGACTGGTTTCTACCTGGGAAAACGGACCGAGTGCGTTTCGCCACCCGGTCGTAATTGGAAAAACGTGAGCTCTCCAGGAGTCAAGTGGCGTGTAAATATGGAGTGGAATGGAGGAATAGAGGACGAGGTCCTGGCACGCGTTCTGCGCATCCTGCGGCTAAATGCGGCATTCAAATGTCGTCGTATTTATTAGCTATGTAATGTTAGGCCTGGATTATAATAAAGGCCTAGAGTGGGTGATGTTGTTCAGGTGAATTCTTTGTGGCCGGGGATTCCCGGGGATGCGGCGGCAGCTTGTTTGCCTCGCGAACATTACGCGAATGGATAATTAGTTGCCGAAAATGTGTTGCTCCGCTCGTAAATATGAGGCACACATGTCGGCCGCTGTTCTTATTGTCGCGGGCACATGTGTTTGGAAAGCAACCGCCCCTCAGCCCCGCGGAAACCCCATCCCCTCAATCATTAGAGGGCTCATTATCAGCATCCGAGTTTGCGGGTGTTTTTTGTGTCCCCGTTTCCTGGTCTAAAAAACTCGGTAAATCACCGAACCGAAAAAACAAACATTGGAACGCATACAGCAACTTTCTTTTAGCGCGTAGATCCTCGAGAGCAGGAAAGAAGAAAAACCCATCGCACTTTCTGCCTTAAGCACGCGCCTAATAAATAAAAATTATTACCTTCATAATTAGTGAAAGAACATGGCGATGGCGCCGTCGAATGCGTGAGCATAATTACCATCCAGCTTTTACGTCCGTGTCTGCACCCTCGCACAACATACACACATCCCAATTTCATCCCCAACCCCCAGCCCCATGGCATCCCATCTTAACACTCGAAAAAAACACTGAAGGAATTTTGAAAGCAAGTGGAATTATTAATATCTTTTAAAATTATTAAAAGGTTCGATCTTATACATTATCCACCCCTAAAATGGATTTAGAGTTAGTTAAAATTATCTTAGGTGCCAATTTATTTCATTTTTAGATTTTTTTGTGTTAGTTATATTAAAATTTAATATTTAAAAAATAGATATACAAATATTTAAATGAAAAACTGCTCAGCAAAAATAAAATATATATAAAGCTTTGTTATTTCACAGAACGCTTTTCGCTTTTTCAGAAATTTAACTTAAGAGCTGTGTAAATTATTCTATGTTCAATTAAACTAATAATGGTGGTTTGTGATCATCTTTTAGTTTATTATAGTAACCCAGTACCTAACGTAAAACAGTTTTAATAATATCTATTAAAGAGTTAGTGTTAGTTGCATGACTCGAACTGGTTTAATGTTTTAGGTAGTTTTAACTCTCTGGTCCTGTTCGTGCTTGATCTAATTACGAAATACTAGATATTTTTTGAAAGTGCACCCCATATCCATATCCATATGCACATCCATTGGATGCCACACACACACACTCGCACACACACATTGGGATTGTGGGGCAATGTTACCCGTGAGCGAGTGGGTAAATTAGAATCGTATATTCCGGGAGGCGACGACTGTGTTGGCGTTAATGCTCTCAATGGGCTTTCTATGTTTTATTCCCGCTTCGTGCCGATGTTTTTCATTTTGGTTTTTCTATTTTCCTATTTTTTTTTTTTTTTTTTGTTTTTGCTCTTTCCTAACCAATGCGGCGGGGACCGCCCCCGCCAAGTCGTAGACAAAGTGGCAGAAACATGCATAATTAATTTATGCCCCTCCGCGGGCGCTCCTCTTCTTCAACTCCTTTGCAGCAATTAATCGAGGAGAAGGATTCGCCGGAGGTTACACTGGCGCATCCCAAGGCGAAGGAGTGGATCGTCTCGATGGCGAAGGCTAATTACCAGGAGTTGGCCAAGATGGCCAGCGAGCACCCGGAACTGGTTAAGCTGCAGGTAAGCCAAGATTTCCTGATCTCTGATTTCTGATTTCTCTTTGAGCCTCCAGTTTTTCCTTTTTTTTCCACCCACGCTCCTCTAACAAATGCGACAAGTACAAACTATTCATAAGCATTAATTACGACAAATTAAGCAGCAACGCGTTGTTTTTGCCATGTCGAACAACACTTAAAAATGCGAGGAAAATATAATAACGACAACTGAGGGACCGGCTGAAAAGAGGCGGGTGGGGAAAGGGGGGAGGGGCGTGGCACGGACGGGAGGCGGCTGTCGCATAGCGAGCGGAAAAAGCAACAACGCCAGCCGAGGCGACAATTAATTGTGAAATATGTTTTCAGCATTTTTAGCACTTGTAGCGCATGTTAAGAAGTGGGCGTGAGCGCGACTCTCCGGTCGACAAGCATAGGCCGGACGAGTCGGCCATAGATATATAGATATAGTAGACGCAGAGATATATGGTCTGCCATTGGGCAACCACTGACGACGACTAGTGATCTCGTGGAGCAACGGGATGAGGAATGTTTTTGGAGCGACAAACAGACAGACAGACAGACAATACACGCAATTTCCATTTTTTCGCACTGCTGTTTTCCACAAACATTTGCTGCTGTTTAATTGCTAACTCCGGCATACTTGCATAATTTAAAATAGAATTATATTTTACATTAGATACACACGTTACATATAGGTTTGGGATGTTAAAAGGGTTAGAGAGTTAAAAGACAATGGGATTAAGGTATTTTTTGAAATATTGTTTGAATCTATTTTCTTTGAAGATTAATATGCTTGGTCTACTTCCAATTACTGAATGATTTCTGTGTAACTAAAAATCGAGCAACATAAACATTTGTCTGAAGACTAACACAAATTCAATATAATTTTCTTCACAATTAAATTTTATTCAGATTAACAAATGAATTAATAAAATCGTATTTTCGCGTTACTTTTACGATTAAATTCTATATAATACATTTCAATGTCACAAAATTAATGTGATGTATTGAAAAATTAATCTATTTTTTGGTAATTCCTTACTAAAAATATTCTTCTTCAAATTCCTGGCGGCTCCTACGATTTATTTATTCCCTTGAAGCTTCGCCCTAAAAGAGGTGTTTTTCAAAATTATTACCTGAACTTATTTTAGGAATTGTTAATTGTTGGTAATCAAAAATGTTTTGACACAACGTCTGAATGCATTTCCCGTAAGTTATTGCGATGGAGAAACTGTTTATTAAAGGATCATAAATAATAAAAAACAAGAGCTAGATGTTTTTTACTAAATGATTTATAGAGACTTGGGGTGTATTTGTTCTAGACAAAAAATGTGGAGCATATGCTTTTTATTTCCGTGAAGGCTTTAATATTTACATAATATTTCTTGAGCAGTAATAAATAATTAGCATTAAAAAATTATAATTCATGTGCATTATAATTAATAGTATATTTGTTTAATACTTTTACTTAATTCTTTTAAAATCTGCATGTTGAGGATGGGGTATTCCCTAGTCCATCACCCCTAGACGAGTTTTTTACACACTTATTTATGACGTGCGTGTGACCCCACTCAAATTGGGGGAAAAAGCGAGCCCCAATTCTCGAGGGTCGCCGCAAATGAGACATGGAAAAATGGCTCCGCTCGCGACATCTCGAGATTGGGATTGAGTTTTTGGGGGGGATTCGTGCGGGCTTCAGTGTGAGAACTCAATAAGATCCAACAGATTTGCTGGCCGTGTGTGTTTCGCTGGTTTTGTGCCACTGGTGGTGGTGGTGCCTCTCAATTAGAGAGCGTTTTTCGGAGTTTTGTACGGCCCCGGGTATTTATGTGGCATACATACATATATCCAAACACTGATACTGGGGCGTCGGCCCCGTTGCAAGATGATTTATGCCGTCCGCAGTGGAACATGGGCCCCAGGGTCCGGGTCTGCGGCGAAGGCGTGGTATATTATGTTCGCGAGCGGACTAATTGCCGTACAAATGCACTGTTCCCGGAAATAATGAATTCCGCACTCTGCATACGCGTATGTTCATGTTCCTTCGAATGCGCTTTGCAAATCTTGAGGGCCATAAGTGCAATCAATTAATGAGCCAGAGCTACCCGGAGGCCGTTCGTTGGATTTTGGATGATGTTGGATGAGCAACTCCGCCAACTGGCAGCTCATTTGCGGCGCTTCCAATTCCTTGAATCACTGAAATCGCAACGAGACGGAAATAGCCATAAATCAGAACGCGATTGCCACTTAACCTAATGCCTCGAGTTCCTTCGGGGGGATCTGAAAAAATATATGATACAAATGACTTCTGCTCATTTGCAGAATGTGAATGGCCGAAAAAACGGTTGCCCATTATGACATTTTAAATGTTGACACGCTTAGTTGATATTTAAAATAGTAAAAGAAATACTTTCTTATGAAGATTTCATTTACAAATGTTGAACAATGATTTTTCTAATTATTCTGGTAATATATCTCTACTAAATTAATCTCAGATACAGTCGAGTCCCGATAATTCAAAATGGCAAGGGGATCACTTTTTTTTACGAATTAGACGGGAATTCGATTTATCAAGATTTTTTTCAAGGGATTTTTTTTCAAGTTCAGTTTCATAAAAAATGATTTTTGATATACCCTTATATTCTCACCTCTTTCTAAACCTTCATAAATCAATCAACTCTTGAAAATAGGAACTGTTTTATTGATCTTTTTAAAAGAGCTTTAGAATTGTTTTAAAATTTAGAATTGACAGTTTTATTTTTCCGATTAAAAAAGGGTAAAACCATCCTAGCTGTCCAAACATTTGTTCAAAGCCAGCTTAAAAATATTCTAAGTGAAATCTGTCCGCAGCCCGAAAGTTATGCAGATGGATTCAGCTACACTTGTATGCTAACAGGATTATGTACAAAGTCCGGACTGGCATGCCGACCATTTACATATGTACCCGTATGTAAATAAACGGGCGAGAATTGTGGAGAAACTCCATATATAGAAATATTCCCCAGTCATCGGCGGCGGCAGGGTGTAAAAAAAAATATTTTTAATTTGAATAAGTAATTCGTACAACGGGGCAAAATCAAAAAAGAAACAAGTCGAAACAAATGCGAAACAAGGAAAATTCAATTTACCCGCATGTCAAACCGAATTGCCGGCTAGGTCAAACACGTTGATGGATGGATGGATGGAGTCGAGTTGGGCTGGGCCTGGCCGGAATGGATGCCGGAATGGTTGGAGGGAATCATCGGGGTCCCAAAACCCAAAACCCACCAGCAACACCAAGAGCAGACCGGCAACAACAACAACATCACGGCACCAGCAACAACATCGTCGACAAGCTTAAATTGCAAAACGGTGCATGCTCGTCTATTTGGGGCGGTCCCATCGCTCCCCACCAAAAATCGACGGACGGAGCACTGAAAACAATAGACAAAAAGGGGGTAAAGTCCAACCCACCAACAGGAACACCTGGATGGGTGCAATGAAAAAAAAATATATATATGTATACATATAACTGGGTAAAAGTACACACGGGCCCGAAGTTTTTAATTAATACAAAACTTGTAACATTTTATAAGCCGCTACTACATATTAGCAGCGAGCGGCGTTTTGAATATGCGAGTGTGCATACAAACCTACGATTCAGATACATCCACCTATGTGGCTTTTATGCTCGGACAAGGGCATTCCATCAGGCCATCATCAACCCATGCCATCCATTCCCGATCCGATCCGATCCGAAAACATTAGGCACTCTGGATTGGCTGCGGACTTGGGGAATGTGGCTGTGGATGTGGATGGCATGCCCAGGTGGACTATTTAACCGAATTCAAATGTGCATGTCCGTTTACACAGAGTCATGTCCATGACTGTGCATCTAACCCGTGCTCGTGGTGATGGTAGCAATGGTGTTGTGGTGGCAATGCCGACTCCAATGCCGCTGCCATGTTGCCAGTGCTTGATTGCTGATGTCGTATGCCAGAAATTTAATTAAACTTGGGATACAAACAACCTCAAGCGGCCGGACAAGCCCATATTTGAGTGCGAGCCACTCGTCGTTGGCCACGGCTCTCCGTGTTCCGCAATAATGTGTCTGGGTATTAAAATACATACAGCCATTTTGACTATTAATGTTTTAAAGTTTCAGAAGATAGGTTAAAATCGAAAATCCACTTCCGTAAACAAAAGTGTAAAGCATTGTTTTAACAATCTATAGTAATCTAAATTTATTGATTATTTATATTTTATGTTTTGTCTTCCTTTAACTTTTATCAACACATAATTTTGTTGTTTTAAGAATTTAGAAATGTTGTCCAGATTTTTAAAATACATTACTCCCTAATTTATTGAAAACATTTTAATGAGAACGTGAAAAAGAAATATTCCTTATTTTATACAACAGGGAAAATTAAATTAAACCATATCCGTATTTTTTCATTAAACATTTTTAGTGCTTCTACTGCTCACATTTTTATCCACAACTGACATTTTTATCCTCCATCATTAAGGCATCTTTTAATTGAATAATACCTGTGCAAATCGCATAAAGTGCCATTAAATGTCCGAGATCTAAGGAGCATCTTCAAAGTCCGTCTGGAAAGTGTCCTCACATCGTGACCATGAACTTTTCAACAGGTCGTCCGCAGAGGCAATAAAACGTCTGACACCTTTGACAGTCTCTGCGGCAAACTCAAAAACTACACACCAATAATAGTGTCTTTGTATGTCAGCGGCGTTGGTGGCGCCTTGGCCAAGTGGCATGTGATTTTCCCCCTCTGGAAGAAAGAAAGGAGGAGGAACATCAAACCGAATGGCGGCTTGTGTGAAAGATACTTTCCATGGGTGTCATTAAATCGAGGTGACAATTCAATCAACAATCCGAACGGCAAACACCGGCGAAAACGGCTCGGCGGCTGTCAAATGAGTGAAGCCTTTCCAGAAATCAAATCAAATGTGTTTACGACGTCTGCCACGTTGGTGGCTCAATTTTATGTCGCTGCGCAGCTA